TGACTGAACAACTGGACCTGAAAGAGTAAAATTAAGAAGTAGAGAGGATTATAGTAGCGTCGTCTGAGCAATTCGAGCTGAAAGAGGGATGTGTTCAGGACTAGGATAGATTAGTAGTCATGGTTGAACAAATTAAGGCGAGAATGACAATTTTGAGGTTATAGCAACAACCGTATCTGAATATAAACCCATTTTCCGATCAACAAATATAAACAAATTGGTCTTTGGAAGGAGTGCTCTGGACTGAGATTAGATGACAATCCTGGCTGAACAAATGAAAGTCCGAGAAAGTACTTCAAGTCTGTAATGAAGTTGGATCTGTTCGCAAAAGAATGAAACCATGGGCTAAATATACAGGACCGAGTGTTAATTCTGCATGAGCAGATGAAGCTGTAAGAAAGAAAGAAGTTCTGGGCTGGACTGGGGCTGGAACTGAAATTCAAAAATGGATTGTTAACCCTTCTTGAATAAAACTAACAGACTAATTGCCTAATTGACGAAATCCTTGGTACACGCTCTTCTTCGAATGGGTGACAGTTAATTAGATTTGCGAGAAATTGCATTTTAATCAAAAGATTTATTTTCGTCATCACAAAACAAAATAATCACATAGCTTACACAAAGGCATTATCTAAGATCCGTTTTTAGTTCATTTTTAAATTAATTAAGAATCCGTTTGACTCAAAGCAAATATTTATCTTTTTGGCTAACGTAATTAAAATCAAATTATTGGTGGGTGGGGGGGGACCTTAGAAGTTAAAGACGGTATCCTCAGTCTCGTGTAATTGTCACCCAGTTTGCAGATGAAACAAAGTCATATTACTTAATGTTGAACTGTAATTTAATGCTCTCTGTTCTATCATTGCTATACTTAACTGTCACTTTATACTCCCACGTCTTAATTTTAATTTAGTGGATTGATGACCAAGTGTCTGAGTGACGTAATATTAATTTAGTTAGCCCACGACTCCTGCTTAATTTCGTGACCGTAGCACATGCATACAAAATGTCTTCCTTGAATTCATTTCTTGCATGTCGCGTGTTACAGACAGTGCCCAAATCATACTAGTTCAGAGTTTTCTTAGACTGCGATTTCATTTTCGTTCTTTGTTTATGTTCTTTTTGTCTCTCTTTTCTCCGAGGCCTGTGGATACACTGCTTCACAGATTCCCTGACGAAGATTAAGAAACCCGAATATGTGTCTTCAGGCCCTCATCATTGCTCTAGGCCAGACAGAGCTGATAAGCTGTGTTTCGTGTAATTACCATCACCATATTGTTCATCGTAGACCATCCGTGACCTACATGTTGCCGTGGGTTTGAGATAGCAACCCCTTCCACCTGCACTCCAGGGAATTAATTACAACCCCACACACACATACCGACACTACAGCCCTCCCAAGCGCCTAAATGGCGTATAGTGGGACAGATTTTTTTACTTTACAAAGAAACACTACTTCTATGATGTTTCATGCATCGAAGCATTCCGAACTTGCACTAAATATCACTGCAGTCAAACTATTCACACATACTTCATGTTTCATTGTTGAAGGACGTAAACTGGATTGAGGTTTCCCAGAATCGAATACAAACGGCGGGCGTTGAAGTCACTAGTAGTGTTCAGCTTCTTGTGCAAAGTATTTTCAGGGTCGAAAAATACATCCAATCGAGCGTGGTGTAGTAGTTAGTTATTTTCCTCCGTGTTTGGGATGTCCCGTTTTCGAACCTCATTCGTGAAGCTCTCTGCTCTGAGGATGTTCATGATTTTATTAAGTACCTCCAGCAAATTTTTATGTAATGCATTAAAATAGGCCACGGTCGCTACTCCTGCGTACTTTATAATTATTTCAACGCCCCATCCTTTTCGACGAAGTACTGGCCTATGGCTTTATATTATGCATTTGAGAAAGCTTCGTTAAGTTTACAAAAGAATCTGAAGTTCATAGACTGTTTGGTAGGCTGTCCGCGTGAGCTACAAGGTAGGAGGTTGTCTAGGCGGCTTTTGTATCGCTAGTTGATATTCCTTCAGTGGCCTGGCTATCAAAACGTGCAGGTTTCGCTAGTTCCTGCTGGACTGGTAAATTCCTCTTGCCCCTTCCGGTCCAATCTTCACCCAACGTCCCGCCTACATAACAAGGGTGTCAGATCTTGAAGCTGCTACTTTAGTTTCTTTCATAAGTTCTAATTGTCTTAGGTATAAAATTATAAGTGGCCATTTTCAGAATTCTAACTTAATTTCTGAACTCATTATTTTAATTTAAAAACAGTAACAGCCCTATGAGAGCCAAAGCCGACTAGCTAGCTGGCTGCTGGCCTCACGTTCACATGCCTAAGCAGAGGTGAACGATCATCCAACCAGATATAGGATGACGTGTGGTCAGCACGACGAACCCCCAGCCATTGCTACCTTTCCTGACCGGATTACGCTACCCATTGTAGCTCCCCAATTTCCTCACGATGCTGGGTTGGCACCGGTCGAAAATCTCATGAGAAATTTCTTTCCCCGAGACTCGAACCAGCGAGCATTCCGTATCAACTGTCCGAAGCATGATGCCTCAGACCGCACGGCTACGGCGCGGGACAAACAGTATTTTAGCCCTGTCAAATTTCTATTTATTTTCCTGAATTTCCCCGGAGAAAATCTTATCTGTACTCGGATCCAAATATTATAGATAAATGTTAATATGGAACGGAATAATTTCTGAATATGTAGACCTGTGAACGATTATCATTTCATTACGTGAGACAGGTTTCTAATGAAACCTTGTTCCCGGAGGAAACAGCGATAAAATTACGAGAAACGCCTACGTATTACTGCTCCTCCCTACTTCAAATATAATCAGCTTCACAGTGCATTATCATCCTACGCCTCTTCGCCTGTCCAAGTCAGTCAGTCACTTGGCCCGTAGCCTGCCAATGAACCAGACAGTCCCCTTGGTTCAGTGAAGCAGTTAATGGGCCGCGCCGAGTTGAATCATTTGCGACTGTTCGAATTTAGTTACAGGTCTTTCAACCCGTTACAAAAGAGTTCATTCAATTGAACATCGGAACTGAATGCAGTTAACCAACCAGCCACCCGGATTGCCAAGGTTCTTCTCAAGTTTTCCGTCCGTTTCAAACAAATTCTTCTCTGTTCCTATAGTGAACGGCTACACGAATTGCCACTGCCGCTTGTCTATTAGCGGTCGTCTGTCATGATAGACTGATAGGTAATTGTACTAATTCCGGACACAGTTTATAATTCTTCCTCTTACGGTTGTTGTAACGTAATTCCTCCATTAATGCCACTCAAATGGCAGAGAGTAATCGGCTAGAGTAATGGAAATCTAACGATGTATACAACAACGCGTGTTGATTGGTTATAATAATTTCTATCCAGTTTCTTCTTTAGTGTATTTGCCAACAGCAAAGAGCCTAAGACAGGCAAACGACTACGATCTTGATGATAACGTAATACTAAAATGATAATAATTATATCAAAAACAATAGGATATATTAACGAGACTTCTTTGGTCTGCTAAATATAAGCCTGGTAAAGAATCTCACCGTCCGAACAGAAGGGGTTCGATCTCCGACAGAGCAGTTTCCTTATGCCACTTTCAGAAGTACCGTTTTTCTATCCAGTAAGTTGGCTGTCGAGAAAGTCCTTTTATACGATGAAACGGCTGAAGAAAAAACCACTCAGACCACTGTGTTCACTTGGAACCGATCCTCTGCACGCCCATAAGCCGAATGGAGAATTTCTTGCAGTGAGATTAGATTTGTTTATTTATTTATTTATTAATTCATTCCTTTATCGGTGCTGCCGGTATCAGATTATAAAGCGCCGAATGCATGGATCATTAGTGAATAATGAATTGAAAAAGATGTGGAGAGAAGCGGACGTGGCTTCATTTAAGGTACTATCCCGGCATTTTTCTAGAGGCACTGAAAAACCAGTCACGATATTCGGTCTTCTGGCCGAGATTGGAACCGGCCTTCCCGAAGAATACGAAACAGGAGTGAATCAACATATTACGTGTGAAACTGCATATTCATAACCCTCCCGGTAAGTGTAGGGCAGTGAGGAAAAAAACACAAAATTCAGATTTCTTCCTCTCGTGGGGATAGAGGCTTAAGCGAACAACACGACCTTGTGGATAACAGACGATGTTAATTCTTGGCGTCGAGTCTGTTGGAATGTCGTTTTCGCAAACCCCCCGCCATATCCTGCCAAGCCAATGCATGTGTAGTGGAATTAATTCTATCTGAATGAGAACTGCCATCTGTATGTGAGAGGCGAGATGTGAGTTATAGCTCGGACTGTGGCTCCAGAGCCTAAGCAGAAATGGTGAATGAGAATGTTCTTCATAATGGTCGCGTGGGCTGTGACGATAGTGGGTAGAGGGATGAAGATGACGGTAATGATCATGATCATGATCATGAAGGCAAAGCTGAGACAGAAAATTGTCAACGCTGTTTCAGTAGAAGGCGGTACGTAGCGTCGAATAAAAGGAGACGATGATCGTGAATGTTTAGGACAAAAGGGTTTGGGAGAAGGCAAGGTGTTGGAGCGTTACTTTTTCAAAAGTGTTAACCAAATCCCAAGATTAGTGTCATGAACATTTTGGCAGTTGAGTAAAAAATTTGGACGAGACAACTGTCGTTAAATAAACTATAAATAAATATACATTATAGTTTACACTGTCATGCACTCTCTCTGCCCCTCAAGCCTATGCTGTATTTCTTCTTATTGTGCTTACTTCGGCAAAGAGGAAGCATTAGTTGCATCGAGGTAGTTTCCCAGTGTTTGTGTGGAGCAACACAGGAAATTCGTGAAACCAGCAGTTGTGACATCTTGAGAATTACGTTTACCACTTAATGTTTTTGAACAAGGACTGTTGATTATGTACCTAAATATGATCCACCATACTGATTTTTCTGCTTACATATGCTATCTTATTAAATGTCTGTCTTGTCAAAATTTTCATTTTGGTCTGACAAATGTTTCTTCTGTTGCAGGGTGTTGGTCACATACATGACTTGACAATAGGGTATGACATAAATGGGAATGATTATGTATTGGACCTTCGCCTAAACAGGTACGTTAAAGTTCTTCACCGGAATCCTCGTAAACCAACTGCAAAATGAAAAGTATTCTGACAGAAATGAGGTGAAGATTTCTGTCTTCTGGGTTGTTGCGATGTGTGGGCTGGTAGAAGTTTACTGGCGTTTCAGAGGTCATCGTCCCGATGATGGAGGCAGCAAGGACCTCTGAAACATTGGTAAACTTCTACCAGAGTACATGGCACACCAACCCAGAAGACGGCCATCTTCAGACTCATCGCTGTGAAAACCTCAGATCCTACTTAACATGTAGGTGCTTATTATGCATATTTTCATTCTTCCATCCATTGCAGTATTTGCTATAGGGAGGAAATACCTGATCAACCTAATAAAATGGTAGTTCATGTGTCTCTTGCATGTCCTGTCCAAACCAAGTTCGATGCATGATTATGATTATAGTGCATGCATTTCTTAATTTGTTCTAGTTTAATTTGATAAAATACTATCATAAATGTAATTACTGATTTTGTAGATGATGCTGTTGAAACTTCAGTGGTTAAATTAATTTACACAGTTTTATATGTTCCATTTCATGTCCTTTTTTATACTCATGGTAACAGTGTTTAGCTTTTTTTACAACAGACACAAACTAGAGGGCCAAGGTTCCAATTCTGGATTGTCACTAAACTAGACAGTCTTTATCCTGCCACATTTTAGTCTTTGTCTGATTTGTAAGCTCCCAGCTTCATCAGAGCGCATGATTATTAGTATCAGACCAGAACAAGTTTCTAGTCTATCCTTTATTAAATTATAGAATAAATGTATGAATTTATAGTTGTCACAATTTTTCTCTTTAAAAAATAAAGTTTGCCCCACTACGTGCCATACAGGCGCTTGGGGTGAGAGTAGGTATAGCTCCTCCCTTTCTTGACCTCGGCACTAGAGGGGGATGAGTGGTCGGCATCACGCCCCGGCCGGCTTTACCCCCGAGAAAGGACTCCGATACCCATTGTAGAGGAGGCTGGGTGGGCCCCAGAGCCGGTCTGGACGCAGAGGCTAGAGGAAAAATCCTCTGGCCCCGTCGGGAATTGAACCCTGGTCGTCCAGCCCGTAGCTAGTCACTATACTGACTGAGCTATCCCCGCTCATTATTTTTTTTCTCTTTACCAAACATTATTAGAATGATCAGATCATGGAGGATGAAATTGGCAGTTCATGCGAATGGTAGTATGCATGGGAGACACAAGAAATGCATGAACAGTCTTGGTTGGGAAGCCTGAATCGAAGAGACCACTCAGAAGACCTGGATGTAGATGGGATGATAATACAGTATTAAAATTTGTCTCAGGGAAATGGGGTAGGAGGGTGAGGAATGGATTGATCTGGTTCAGAATAAGGGCTGTTAGTGGGTTTTTATGAACATGGTAATGAACTTTGGGTTGTGGAATTTCTTTGACTAGTTGAGCATACTATATGTTTATCAAGGACTGTACTCCATGGAGTTACTTAATATAGTTGCTTTATTTAGTTATCAAAATTCTTTTATGACTGTAAGTAAAAACTTTGTAAAACATTGGTTTTGTTATGTAAATGATTTTTGTTTTGTTTCAGGGAGTTGGTCCCAAAGTCATATTTTGAACGATATCAGCACAATGGTCAGCATGTTGTAAATAAACCAACTGGAAAGGTGAGTTCATATCGCATGCAGGAATTCCCTTCCAATTCCTTTTCCCCTCATTAACATAACACTTGTTAATTAGGAAATAACTTGTCTGTTAAGTATCATGGTTCCTCACTTGGTGGTTACAAATATACATGCTCTCTTAAATAATCACCAATAATAAATAAATTATATCAGTAATTGACACATATTTCATCCTCAGTGGACCCAAGGTTTGTGGGTTCAAACCCGCCAGGGTCGATGGATTTTTAAGGGTGATAAAAATCGGTAGCACAACTTCCTTTGGAGGGAAAGCCGGCAGTTCCATGTCATAGATTTACGGCATGTAAAAGAACCTTACGATTATGAACAAGATGTTTCATCAGCAAAATTCAGCGGCCACTTCTCACCCATGTCTCTCCTGATTCTCTACTAGATGGCTGTAGCAGACAAATCAAGATTGAGTAGAAATTGTGCAGAGGCAGAGTGGGCTCGTCACTCACTACTCAAATGTACAAGACTAATAAGGACAAGTTGCCTTGAGCAACTGTCCCAGAAGAGGTCGATAGCCCATTCCTTGTAGAGGATATGGATGGATGGATGGATGGATGTGTATTTATTTATTTATGTTGTTTCAGTTGTATAGGTTACATAACACTGAATAGTAGGATGACTGGATGATTTTTTTTAATGGGTTAATGAATTTATTCAGCCTGTGTCATATACAAATTACAGAAAGTGGAATTTCTCTGGTCTTATACTTCCACCTTCTGGATTTGTATGGGTCATCACTGAAGAAAGGTGTGGTAGTTTAAATGCCTATATTTACTGATGTATTGCACTGACATAATTGAATTTGATGTCAGTTTGTAGTTTCTTAAGTGAAAGCATGTTCAGTATGGTTGCTGTGCATCCATTACCATTTACTGATGTTAACTGAAGTCTTTCATAACTTCAGCCTTAGTGGTGCTGTGGTCTATTCCTTAATTTCCTCAGCCATATGTGGACTATTTTTGTAGGCATTATTCTTCCTACTTGCCAACAGCAAGAAAGCCAATTAGAGGTCTTGATACCATAATATTTGTGTCAATTTTTATAATCCCAAACTAGCTGTGGGCCCTTGCTTTGTTTTAAAACACATATGTTTTGCCTTTAACATAATGCAGCTTTTGATCAAGCCATGTTCATGTTTACAGGACATTGAGCTTTGCCAGTACCAGGGAAAGCTCCGAGGCATCCACAACTCATGGGCAGCCATATCTACATGTCATGGTCTCAGGTAAGGTTTGCTGCAAGGCACTGTCAAGTTGTTGAAGGTAGCAAATGGGACATAACATCAGTTTTGACGCTGCCATCATAAAATTGTCTCATATGTGACTACTTTTTTAACATGCTTCTGAAAATTCCAGAAGGGTGGGTTTCAGCCTGTAATACTCAATTTAATTTTCATTATGTGTACTTTTTGTATTCTTAGCAAATAAAATGAATTTTATTAACTGAAAGATCTAAATTGGTACAGAAGAAGTATAGTCAAGACATGAGTCCTTTTCTACTTCAACGTAAAATATGTGGCAGTAAATTTATGCCAAAAAACTGTAAGATTTTTATTGTGGATTTACAAATTTATTAGTGATATCTTTGGAATTGCTATTGTATATATTGTTTTGTGATGCAATTTTTAATGAAGGTTTTATTGATGTCCAATAATTTCATAAATGACCTTCCACAAACATTCATTTGCATCACTAAACACGAAGCTATCAGCACTTTTCCAGAGGAGAGTCATTTTGTGAGTTCTGCTGGCCTACACTAGGGGTCAGCAGCTGTGGCCCATGGGCTTATTTGCACTTGTATTTTGCATTTACTCTTGAGTCATACGATAATAATAACAATGGAAGAACTGAAGCCCATTCAAAAGGTTAATGATCTGTAGATATGAGTGAACACATTGAGTTATCTTCATGCTTTACATTGTGACAGTTATTCATGAGAAGTGTAAATATGTATTTTTATAAGATCTCTGTTACAGTTAGAATTCTGAATTCATTTGTGCCAAAGCCTTTATTTAGTCTGGTGGTCAGGGGGAGACAACTTTCTTAATATGTAACTTACATGACTGTTACACCACAACAGGTATTCCCTTAGCCCTTAAAATGCACATAATGAATATCTAGCTAAAATGAATAAGCTGTACATGTCATGTCTTGGTTTATATTTCTGTATTAAGAAAATCTTCATGTTCTTTCATGCAATCTTTGTGCTTTCCAGTGGTGTGATATTTGATGGTGAAGAACTGCATTACCTGGAGAGAGGTTCAACTGATGAGGGAGGTGGAAATGATGTTGAGGGAGGGGGGGATGAAATTTCAGCTGTGCATTTCCTTTACAGACATGCAGACATGAAGACAAACCAAACTTGTGGTGAGAAAGTTGTATTTAAATACAGTGAAACCTCGATGCATCGTTTTTGAAGTGGGAGAGAAATAAAAATGATGAATACAGGAAAACGACAGTTGCTGGAAAGCATTAAAAATGAGAAAAAATTAAAATAGTGCATTTTTCTCTTTTGCATACACAAAACAAAACACATAAAACCTGTTTCAAAGTTACTTCTTTTTGCCAAAAAAGTCTTTAATGGATAACTTTACGTTTTAGGTGAAACAGAGTTTGGCTTCTGTTTGGAGATAATATTTTGGTCATTGGTCAGGGTACTGAGTCTCGTGAGGTTTATCATAGTTTTCCCCAGTCCTGCCATGTAAATGACATTATAGTATCTGCAAATTGGCCACAACTACCAACTTTTAGATATTTTCCTTATCATCATTCATGGTAATATTGATATCTCATATAACATCTGCAGTTGAGATAACATACTTTAACAACCTAAGAAGTAGTTGAGTTTTCCAATTAGTATTTAAATGCCAGGCATATCCTCAGACTTTAAGGAACCACCTACAAGGTTACATACACATGCAACAGCCCTGAAGGCCACAGTCGACATCTCCAGTACTGTGAGAATCTCATATACCATGTTCATAATTTTTAAAGCATTAACAAATGCCTCACACTAAATCTTTAGGTATATTTTATTATCTTGTCATAAGAGTTTCACTTGATTAATTTCTGTGAAAATCTTGGAACAGAACTTGAATGTGTGTTTAGTGTTTATCAGGCAACTTAACTTTCCACTCATTCTTTTGTGTTAATGTTTCTAGGATACTCAGGGACACCACATCATCATAATTTAGATAATCAGGAATTTAACAGAATTCTCAGGGTAAGTTCATGCTGCTTGCGATAAATTATCAGTTATTCTCATTTTGTATTTCAACCACTGAGAGAACTATATGATATTAAATCCTTTATACTGGTTATATGTGGAAAATAACTGGCATAAATCTCAACTGAAATGAACCATTTTCACTGATGCTTTTTCATTGTTTTCATTAGTATGTCCAACAAAAATTATTTGATAGAATACTTCATTAGGTAAGATTCCACACTTTTAATAATAACTACAAGAAATACAGGCAGTTAAAACTGACTGGAAAACCTTTGTTGGAAATTATCCTAGATTTCTTGAGAGAGTTGCAGTGAAGCTTGAGTTATGAAGGACACTGTGATGAGACTTTCACTGCACCTTGTTACAGTTCTTAATGCAAACTGGTGAAATAACTTCAACATGCTTGTTTCAGTTTATATAAATTTGCATATTTTACCCTATTGAAAGCATACATATGGGTAATAAAATAACTACATAGATTCAAGTTTTTCTTGGTAGACTTGAAACATAAACTTTCAGAACATATGGGGTGGTAATCATAAAATATACTCAGTAACAGTTACTTTGAATCCTAGGATGCTGCAACTAATGTAAATTGTATAATATCAAGGAGTTTGACCCACCTCCCATTGCCTGCTATAAGTTTCAAGGATTGGTACTATGATAAACATACTTTTGTATCTGTAAGAAAGAGAATGGTGATGATGTTGCAGTACAAACGTAACACAGATGTGATTCGTGGGCCATACAATGCTAACAAACAATCACGCTATGTTGAGTTGGTGCTGGTTGTGGACAATAAAGAATACAAAGCATTTGGAGAAAGTCGAGAGAAGGTTAATCACCACTGCAAGGAGATTGCCAATATCATCAATGCCGTGAGTAATTTTACATAACAAGAGAGTTTGTATGTCATTTATGATCTCTTATATCAAAGAATATAAACTGGAAGTATTTTAAAACAAAGTGTTAAGGAAATACTTGAAATTGAGAGACATAACCTAGGCAGCAATGAAGATACTTTTGCAACAGAGAACTTTGTTATGTAATATAAGTATGTTTACAGTTCATTTGGTCTGTACACATGACTTTGATGTGAGAAATAAACAGAATTTTGGTGAGGAAGCCTTTTTCATTTTAAATACTTAAAATAAAGTAAAGTAAAGCCATCCTGCTATACACCATGTAGGCACTTGGAGGGGGGAAGAGGAGGTATAGCTCCTACTCATTCTTAACCTTGGCACTAGATGGGGGTGAGTGGCCAGCATTATGCCCTGGCCATGCTTTACCCCCGGGAAAGAACCCTGGTACCCATTAGATAGGAGGCTGGATGGGCCCCAGAGCCAGTCTGGACACAGTGGCTAGAGGAAATTCGTCTGTCGGGGATCTAACCTTGGTTGTCCAATCCGTAGCCAGTCACTATACTGACTGAGCTACACCATTGTAAATACTTGGAAAATAAAAATTGGGATGTTGAGGAAGTAGTTTTTTTTAGGGCAGAATGTATTGAGATAGCTCAGGGTTAGGTCCAGTGGTGGTAGGCTTATTTTTATTATTGTGTACTGATTATAGTCCACTTTTTAATTATTAATTTTTTGTTTCTATAATATTTTATAACATTGCTGTAAATAAGAATGTGTAAGGCAGTGTGCCACTGATTCAGATCTGTTCTTGTTAATTTCTCAGCAACCAAGAATGGAATCATATGATCATTAGCATTCCTGAAGTTTGGGTTACATCATTCAGAGTGAAATCAGGAAGATGGATTGAGTTTAACTAACTAGTTTTTGTCTCTGAAGTTGTATGTATTATATATGCAGAAATTGTGAACACAATTTGTGGTCATTGAAGTACACATTATATTATTCACAGCCCACTCATCTGTCACAGATTAATATAATATAGAGGAAATAACATTTTCTTCACTGTGCCAGTTTCAAATCAGTACTTGTCCTGTACAAGAAATTTGTGACTTAGATCTGGGATGCATATTCCTGCATCATGTTACAGTTGTATGTGCCACTCAACATCTTCATTGCACTGGTGGGGGTTGTGGTGTGGACAGAATATGACGAGATTGCCATCTCATCAAACGGCGATGCTACACTGACCAACTTCTTGCATTACCGCCGTGAACGATTAGTCAAAGAGCATCCAAATGACAACGCCCAGCTGTTAACGTATGTTGGAATTGCAATGGCATACATTATACTTGTGATGAGGCTGGTTTTAGTGCAGACAAGAACCTCATGAATTCAAATTCAAAATCTCAGAGATGTTTTGAAAGCACCAGATTAACCCTTTTGGTGCAAAGCTCACAATAATACAAAGTGTGCCAGCAGCATGTTTTCATAGAACTTGCGTCATGTTACTGCAGCTGTCACGTTTATGGACCAGTAATTTTCGTGGAAGAGAGTGGCATCTGTTTACTGTATGTAGAAGCATTTTCTTGTGTAAAATGTCACAAAATATAGCTTTATTTTAGAAGTTGTACCATACCATGTTATAGGTACTGCTGTCCAGTTCATAGTGGCTTGTTTTAGATGTAAACAGATTACAGAAAATGTCATAAGGAAACTTTTATTCTGATTCTGAATCTGAGGGTGAATGTAAAGATAAAAGCTAATAAAAAAGGAGAGAACATAATTAAGAAATTTAAATACACTAATACAATCAAATAATTTTGTGCTATCAAAAATTATGCAGCAAAAGATTTAAGGATCTGAAATATCTCTTTTTGACTTGATATGGATAGGTAGTTTTTGCCTTCAAGCTTATCTTTTCATTTCTGTGTATTCTAATTAGAGATGATGGGTGATATTTATTCTTTTATTTTATTATTGATGTGCATTAAGTGCCTGTATTTACTCTTTCATGGTGTTATGTGTTAGTAGTGATCCATTTAATTTTCATCACTTTATAAGCAGAATGACTACATCAGTAGTTATGTTGGACACTGTCCATTTTCTGAGGTATATTTGGTGTAAACAGTGGTTTGGGATTTGGCTTACTTCCGTCTTCAGATGATTTGTTTTAATTATACTGACACATATCCTTCATTGTTTTTTTTTTTATTTCTAATTTTACTGGCAGACACTGGGATTAAACCCAGAACTCTTGACCTATGGTCACCCCTGTTGTCCAGTGGTGAACTTCGAAGGTTTCCAGGTTTGAGGACCACTACGGTGGTTTTAATAGTTAACATATAACTATAGTTTGTTAACTAAGTAATTCTGTATAATAATTTACATTTAATGTCTTTATTAACAGATTTTGTTAGAACTGCATCAATAGGTTACATGAGTCACTCAGTTCATACATTCACACTTTATCCTCTAAATCTTTTTGTTGAGGCAAATATTTTTGTTTTTGACCTATTACAGGCGAGTGCTGTTTGAAGGTGGTGTTGTTGGTAAAGCTTTGAAAGGACCCATCTGCACATTTGAGTTCTCAGGTGGTGTAAGCATGGACCACAGTAAAGTGGTGGGGCTTGTTGCCACCACAGTTGCCCATGAGATGGGGCACAACTTTGGCATGGAGCATGACACAAATGAGTGCCAGTGTCCAAGTGAACGGTGCATTATGGCACCCTCATCTAGGTGAGTACAGAGTTGCCAAATTAACATTTATTTTGATTGTGGCCTTCTGGGTTATGAGGTCAAGTGTTCTTATGGGTGATTACTAACATTTTGTAGGAACCTATTGCCACCATTTGCAGGGAATTAAAATTGCAGAAAATCTAGCTTGCATACATATATCATGATAGTATGTAGGAGTGCCATTACCAGCAAACTGTGCTTAACCACCCTTATGCAGTTCTACATACGAACTACAATGTCACTATTTGTTTTCTAATCCCTTTATTTAAGAAACAATTACATTATACTGGTATTATGAACCTGCAAAATGTATGTTAATAAAGTTGTGGTATGAATTGTTGAACTTTATTTTCTTGCTTCTTTTAGTTCATTGAGTCCAACGCAGTGGAGTTCATGTAGTTTAGAGTATCTGGCACTTGCCTTTGAACATGGGATGGACTACTGCCTGCAGAACAAGCCTCAAAGGTAAAGCTGCAAGCTAACTTTTTGTGACACAGGACTTAGTGCCTCCAGTTATTTACTAGCTTTGCATAAATTCATCATAATCATCCTCTGGCCAAAATGACCTGTAATAGATAATACAAGACAGATTCCATCCATCTTTTTAGAGATCTTCCTATGTGTCTTCTTTCATGGGATTGATTATTGTGTAGTTCTTTAGCACATCATTTCAGAGTCAAGTGGTTGACTTTTTTTACATTTTGTCCCAAGTTAAAATATTTACCAAGAGACTAGTTATCCCGACTGAGGTTGTCTGTGGTCTTCTTCAGATCCTTCAAGCAAATGTCTGATTGGTAAATCTTCCATATTTTAGGCCATGGCTGCTTTCATCCATGTCTTTTGCAAATCATTATTTACTAATCATTCTAGTATTAAATGTTAACCTAAAAAGACTCATTGTCATTTCTGTGTTTTTCTTTTGTGGCAGCCTGTTTGACAGTCCAGTGTGTGGGAATGGGTTTGTGGAGGCTGGCGAGCAATGCGACTGTGGAATGAAAGGACACTGTGACAACCCTTGCTGCAATGCGTCCACATGTATGCTGTTTGCCAATGCATCATGTGCTACAGGAGAATGCTGTGACCTGAAGGTATGTGGCCATAAAGTTAATTTTTTATCACATATGGTTTGCATTGAAGATTAGTGTTCACACTAAATGGGGCCACATGAAGAGATGCTCTGGACATCTGGCTCACAGGCCATAGGTTGAATACCCTTGTATTAACACATCTTTAAATACCATTAATATCAGCTAAGTTTCAATCACTGATTTTTTCATCTTTTTTTGCAAAATACAGTGTGCATGCAATATTGTATATTATCAGACATAATCAGCTCAGTACATGACAAAAGCAGTCTGACTTTAAATGTTGACCATGAGCTGCTGAAGAAATAGAATGAACTGTAAACATGCCTGGAGATGCAGTAAAATGTCAGAACACATGCTTTGCAGCCATGTTGCTGCACAGTGCCATTTATCTTACATATGAATTCAGTATTGATACTTTTATATTTCCTTGTATTTCCCATCAGAGTATTTGATACAAAGAAAGTGCCTGTTAGAAGTACAATACAAATTGCATGATTAGGTTGATGCTATATAATCTTTGGACATGGCAAAGTATTGTATATAAACTAAAAAACATGAGTGAAATATCCTTTGAATGATATGATTAGTTGTTTTGTAGCCTTTGTTGCCTACAGAACCTGTATTTTGTGTACATTCAATGTTTCCAATGTGAATACAAACTTCTGGGTAGTAATACATACAAACACTTAATAACTTGTAAGAAGTAATGTGTGTTTGTCATTCATTAATTTTATATGTCTTTCTCTGTTAATGTTATCTGCCACTTTAGACCTGTCGGCCCAAGACAGCAGGTAGCACTTGCCGGTCAGCAGACCACGAATGTGATCTTTCTGAGTACTGCACAGGGCAGTCAGAGTACTGTCCTGACGATGTATTCAAGATGGATGGTGAATTATGTGACAGAGGCAAGGTGAGTTTGTCGCTACACAGGGATGCAAGTGTTTGGATGGTGCATTAGTTTATTTTTCTTTGAGAGTACCTTGTTTCCAAATGTTTGGAGTAGTTTGGAAAATGCGTTGAATTTCTGTTGGTTTGAGAGGGAAGAGTTTTTGTATGATTTTAAGTGTTGACAGTATGCAAGTGTTGTGGGTCGTGCTGTGTAGGGTGTTTCTCTGATGGGCAACAAGCACCTGTGAAATGTCAGTAAACTTTTACCAGAGTACATGGTACAACAATCCAGACAGCAGCCATCTTTTAAAATTTTCTTCCAATAGTATGTTAACTTCCACAGCATTGGGATGATGATATTAAGTTAGTATTCAGAGGTTCTCTGTTGCAGTCCCAGTTGCTGTCACAAGAAAGTAAATAAGAAAGTCTTTCTTTAATATCCAGCACTTTGAAGATGAAATAGAACCAATTCCTAAGATATTACTTTGTATGATTTTATGATATCCAATTAATAAGATAATGTCAAAAGTCTGTAGGAAGTCACTGTTGCATTCACCATTTTGTTTCATTTCCAAATTCAAGATTTTAACAGCAGGTAAATTAAAATAAATTGTGTTTGTATCTTGGTTTTAGGCATTCTGTTACCATGGCTCATGTCGAACTCACTCTGACCAGTGCCGCCTGCTATGGGGCCCATCAGGCAAGAGCTCAGATATGCAGTGCTACCAGATGAATACCAAAGGCACTCGCCATGGTAACTGTGGCTACAATCGTTTGAACCAGTCCTACATGAAGTGCAATGATGAGTGAGTTCTGCAGTGCATACCACAGCTGCTGCAAAGTGTCATCATTTTATATTTCATAGAGTTTTGAAAAATTGTTGGTTGTTTTTGTATGATGTAATTTTTTACTCTTACCAATAATTGATTACTCAGTAAAGTATATCATATAATTATATAAGAAACATTTTATTGTGGTCTTCTGGGTTATGATTCTGTGTAGACTCGTAGATGGTTACCAATGTTCCAGTAGAGCTTATAACTGTAGTCTTCAGGATAAAAGATGGATGAGATTTTAGCTGGCATCTGGAATTCAGTATATACATTTCAGGATGTCATGTGTTTGTTGTAGATGAACGACAGATGTAGAAACTAACTGCTGATTATTTGGATGCTTTAGGAACATCTACTGCGGCATGCTGCATTGTAGGCACCTGAATGAGAGGCTGGAGTTTGGGATGGAATCTGTGGCCATCCTGTCACACTCCTTTATCAACTCTGGTGGCAGCATCATCCCATGCAGAACTGCCATTGTGGACCTGGGACTTAACCAGGTGGACCCAGGACTGGCACCAGATGGAGCCAAGTGTGGTGAGGACAAGGTGTGGAAAATATTTTGCACTTCTAGTCATTGTTAAACAGATAGTTGTGGGAAGAACTCTTGATTTTTAATTCATTGTATAGTGAGTTATCTTTCTATACAAAATTTCTGTTGAAACAAGTTTTTAAAGCCTGAAATTTGCTGAATTTTGTCATAACCATAGTTTTAAATTTTCATTGCATGCATGTGTGCATGCGCACACACCCAATTTATATCATAATTGAAGTGCTTATAAACTTTTGTGTTTAAGTCTTCAGTCATTTGTCTTGTTTTATTTTCTGTCTTGTAAAAGAAAGGATTTCAACAAATACTGTGTATTGCTAAGACAGCTGGGTAAAAATGATTTAAAATGAGTCATAAAATCTTTTCCAGTATTTTTTTTCTGAACTACAGCAAAATTTTGTTGTTTAATATAACTTCAAAGTGTGTTTAGTGTCACATTTCAATGTATAAATTAATCATATGACAAAAATTCTTTCTAATTTTGTTACACATGCCTATTACCTGAAATCATTTTTGCTATTAAAAGCAATTGCTTATCAGTCTTGAAAAAATTCTTTTACCCTAAATAGTTTACAAATATTACTACAGATGTTGAATTACAAGTGCTCCTCCCTTTTGTCTATATGCAGTCAGATAACAAAGAGTGAGGTAAATTTCACTACAAATCACATTACAATTTTAACTTCTCATGCTAATTACGGGAAGGAAATCTGTACACAGCACCAATAAATATTCCTTTGTGTAGTGCCTGATGAGGACAATACAAAAATAAGATACCACAGACCATGGCAGAACAAAATCTTTCCATTTAGATAATCTCTGTTCATGAGCCTCAGTGAAGGTGCTACTGGCATTTCTCACCTCCCTTCTTACTCATTCAAACTAAATATATGTGACCTAGTCTGTAGTATATTTCATTAGCGCTCAGGTTTATCACCAGAGCAACCGCGGCATGATGCTGACCACTCACCCCCATCTGGTGCTGAGGTCAAGAAAGAGTTGGAGCTATACCGCCTCTCCCCACCAAGTGCCTACATGGCGCATAGTGAGACCGCTTTACTTACTACAGATGGCATTGTACTTGATGTTTCTTCACATCTAGCTACTGCGTGATAGGATTATAGATGTGCCATGTTAACATGTCATGCAAGTAGTGTGTGCATAAATTTGTAAGTGGAGAGAGACTATTTTACCAGTGATGATTTCAGATGTGTGTAAATCAGAAGTGTATGGCAGTGGGCTCCCTGCGACAGCAGGCTGGTAGTGGAGTGTGTCCAAAAAATTGCAATGGAAATGGTGTCTGCAATAGCCGAGGGAATTGCCACTGTGCCATAGGTTATGCTCCTCCGTTTTGTGATTACCCTGGTACAGGTGGTAGTGAGGACAGTGGACCAGCCTCTGATCCCAGTGGTAAGTGTTTTGTTTTGAAAACAAACATACTGTTCAAGATGGACTGTTGTCTGGAATATAGTTTTAAATGAGGCCATGTGTTTGGCTGTGATTATAATTATTATTTGTTTAGTGGAATTAAGACAAACAGTAGTTGTGATAGACTAGTTAATGGACTAACTCAATATGTAGATATTTTCGTTTGAGATTTATTTTTTCACATCAGTTGTATTGCATTTTAAATTTTAACCGAGTTAAAAAAGTAAGATTTAGTAACTTTTTTGATATTAGGTTTATAACAAAACAATGACAGTTTACAGTTTCAGATTTTGCCAGTTTGTTGCCTGTTTGTAATTTTCTTTATTCTGTTTCTTTGGCTGCACAGCACGCCGTGATGTAATGACAGCATTATATGTGATATTCCTGGGTATTGTCCCATTTGTGGCTGTCATAGCTCTCTTCATGTATTACACCCGTCGCAACATCAAGTACTGGTGGAAGAAGAGCAGCGGTCACTCTGCAGCAAGTGCCCAGACTCCATCGTATGTAGTTTCTTGTTTCTGTAGTTCAATATCTGGTTGTTTGAGTAGTTGCTCTGTTCCAAAGCTCAGTAAGTTGAACATTGGTGGTGGGAACACTAGCGCACCACAAGCAACCAAGCTTCCTCGTGGCATGTCCCATGCATCCCCAGCAGCTGTCCGTGTTAAGCTAGAAATAACAAAAACTGGTTTGATATCAACAACAAATTCAGATGTAATGAACACATTGCAGTCAGAAAAGAATGATCAGAATCCTGGATTTTATAACCAAAATGTAGACATATTCACTAGTTCTAGCAGAGGGCACCAGAGGGATAAAGAAATTATTTTGACTGTGGCCAACCTACTTGAACCATCAGCACCTGAATGCATACCTGTATCAAAAAGGAAGGAAATGTTTATGATAAATAATATTAACAAAGCCAAAAATATACCACAGACACAAATACCAGCCAAAATAAACATTTCTAGCAGTACTAATATAGCAAAACCTGGTAGCCAGAATTTACCTTCATATGCCAACAGTTCCATATCAAAATCTGACCAACCAAAAAAAATAAGAAAGAACTCAAAAAGCTTACATGTAAAGGTGAAAAATGAACCTATAAAACAGAAACTTCTTGAAATGTCAGATTCTTGTCCATCAACTCCTGAAACTCCTCCAGTGCTGAAATTTCAGAATAATCCAATAGGGAGTTCTCTTTCTAGACCAACAGTTGCAGAATTATCTTCAAAATTTGAAACAGGATGCGTACCAAAAGCATGAAAAGGTAGTCATCTGCAGTTTGTTTTTAATCTTAATAGGATTTGAGATGTTCACACTGGTGAGTCCAGAGATGGCTGTCTTCTAGGTTGTGGCACCATGTAATCTGGCAGAAGTTTACCAATATCATTTTCCTGTTGATGGAGGCAGCAAAGACCTCTGAAACGTCTGTAATCTTCTACCAGACTACACAGTGCTATAACCCAGAAAACAGCTGTCTTATCTTCATTATAATGGGTTTTGAACAAGAGGTCAGGAAACTGATCGTATTCTTTCCGAATTGTATATATATGTTCTTTTAATATGTCTACACTAGCAGTCATTAAAGTAGATGGCAGTACAGTTGCATGAAGAGTTCAGAAGGTCTACAGTACAGTGGATTTAAGGTGCTCTGGAGCATAAAATAGTGGATTTTAATGACATTTATTGGCATGAGTATGCTTGAGAGGAAAATTAAGTGAGAGTTTCTGAACATTTTGTCTGGAAACTTAATTGTTAGTATGCATGTTGTGTTAGCATCTAGATGCACAGATAAGCATGTTACCTTATATAGTAATGTTGTTTTATTGTTTGTAAGAAAATCATTCTACATGAGTGGAACTAAAGATGAAAATTCTTAACCCAGGAAATGTGCTGATGAAAGTGAATGTGCGTTGACAGTTTGTTGAAACAAGTTTCATGGACCCAAAGCATAGATTGTAATGACCAGAGCTTTTTTGTTTTTTCTGATGGAATGCGATGGTACATTGAACCAGAATTGTTTTTCATAAAATAAAAATGAAGGAATGTTGGCTACAGCACTTGAAAGTCATTATTACCTTTCTAAGTATTTTAAAGTTTTATTTTTATCAAAATATTTTAAAAAATGTATGGGAAACTCCCACTTCCCATGTTGCATTGTAGTACCATCATTTTTTATAAATAAAAAAAGCACTGGGTATTAGCCATGAAATATGCATATGGCAATATTTTTATTCTGCAGATTTGCAGCAGAAATCACAAAATTGAAAGTTGTAAATGTTAAACTTTTCTAAAATGTTCTGTAAGTTGCTTGGGAGATTAATTTATATAGAGTGACCAATATTCAATCTTAGATCTCTGACTGAGTTTATTATATCTGTTTTATGATTTTTGTTTTATACCAAGTAATTTTACAACATGTGGTTGTTTATGTTCAATCTGTGAATTTGCATGTAATGAGGGTTTGAATTTGCTATACACAGACTATCCTTACTTCTTTAATACTGGTTTTCTAACTCATTCTGTGCAGGAATAAAATGCTTCACAAATAAAATGTGAACTATTTCAAGATAACTTAGATGTACGTATATAAGAATCAAATTGTGTTCCTTACTCATCCATGTCGTCATGATTTTATGAACTGAAAGTATGTGAATTACTTCCTCTCCAACCTCCCTCCCACAAAATACAAAAATCCAGTGTTCCTTCGCCACAAAATGGGGTGCATAATTTCACATCCATATGTTGGTGTCCCAGTTGTATCCAAATATGAACTGGATAGCATAAATTTTATCAATAAATGACCATGATGTCTTAAAGATACATGCTGGCATCTGTACACATGTGACAGATCCACTAGGCAGTGTGGTGAGAACACAAAAACTTTGAGACAGAGATAGATTTTGCTTAGCATTCTTATGAATTCTTTGCATAAAGTGAAGGCATAATAGGGAGGCCATGTCTGTCTACCTTCATGTTACATCTCTGAAACTTGATTAAATTTGGTTTTGAGGATCTACAATAAAAATTTTTGGACAAATTTATCATTGATTTGTATCAGTACAGTATCTCCCTCACTTTTCCTGATTCCATATATCTGCAGTAAGTAAACATCAAGACCAATGACATATGCAGAATTGCAAGTAACTCTTTGGTAAATGTGCATACTTTGGGGTACATCATCTTATTGTTGTAAGCTAAAGATATTTCTGCATATATTGTGTTTTGACTTTCTTCTGTGAAAGATATGAGAATTTTATAGACATTTTATTTGTAGAAAGAATATTTTAACACAAATTTTTCAGAGAGTTCCTACATGTATTTATAGTTCTATCTCATAGTTTCTTTGACACTGAAATTGTTCTTTTTTTTTTTTTTTGTGGAATGAGATGTTTGTGTTGTACTAATTACTAGAACAATAAGAATGAGATATTTTAACACAGTTTACACATAATCTGAAGCAGTATGTTTTCTTCATTATCTATTTTTATAAAAGTACCATGATCTGTTATGTATAATGCATTTCCAAGTTTATTTTATAAAATGCACTAAAATTATATGTTGTGTTAGCTGTTTCAAGAGTTTTCATCACTGCATGCAGAAATTGAAAATGGAACCTTGGAATGATTACAACTTTGTTGCTGCCACAGTTGCAAGGTTTGGTGGTTTCAGTTATCAATAATGAGCCGTAACTTGTTTTCTGAACAGCTTGGCTTCATTTCCTTATTAAACTGCCCTATGTTAACATAAAACATGTTTTAATGCAACCTTATTCTCTTTTGTTTGTACTTGATCTTGGTGATGCATGCTAGTTTGCTTGTGTTGAATTTGATATTAGCCTCTGATGCATGGATTTTGTATAGCATACATATATTTTATAAGATTATCTTGTTTAAAATATTAATGATCAGTATCTACTTTTCAATTTTTGCTTGTACTCTTCCTTTCAGTGCAGTGTATATTCCAAGTGATATTTGTATCATTTAAGTACAAACAGTCTTCTGTTGTATGGAAATTAATGTCCACATTGGCCTGGGACTTTGGTTACCACCTCTTTTGCTATGTTTTCTTGTTATTTATTTGTAGAATTATTGTGATGGTGAAAAGTGAGTGTAATTTGCTGTGTATAGTGTATGAAGTCACTTTCTTAAGACAGAGCACAAGCATTTTTCATCACTTTTGTTTTAATGCACATTACTGTCTGTAATCATCAGATTGGGGGATAAATTTTGTTACTTGACATTTAGGTAATCAATGCCCCATTGGGTTATGAAAATGTGTCTTCCTAGTGTTTATGCAGAGCATTGAAATAGCATATATTAGAATCTACTATGACCTTCCATATATCTGATTAAATTTTCTACTAAGGCTTCTGCTCACAGTACCTTTACTTTTAGCTTATAAGCTACCACCATTTATTACTGGAAATGAATAGAGCTTTTTAGTCTTACATTGTCCAGAGCATGAGTTTGTCTGTTATTGATATGCAATTTGTTTCTCTGTCAGGACGAAACTTGGAGACAAGAAGCCACCCCCACCAACACGACGCATTAGCTGTAGCAAATCTATGGCACTTCGAGGCCCTAGCAATATGGCCAATGCAATGCGAGCACTAGAGATCTCCAGTCCTATTCCCGGAGAAGGGTCAGCTGGATCAGATGGTGTCCGTGTGTCCCTACTTCCCAAGCCTGATGACAACAATGGCCTAGGTCACACCATCAATCCCTCATCCTCTGTCAGTGTGGATGCCAGCACCATGAATCTTCAGAACAATTTCTTTAGAAATTTCAAGAGCTTCAGCATTACTCCTCTACCTTCAAATAGCTCATCTCCGAATAATCTCCCTTCCACACCATCCAGTAGCCAACCTGCTTCAAGCGCCCTCACCACTTCTGTTCCGTCTATTAAAGTCGGGTCTCCTAAACCTTCAAACAATCTGGCCCAGGTAAACAGCACAGCAGACAGTACAGGACTCACAAACATGACAGTGTCTTCAGCAGTTTCTAGTGCCAATGTAACAGCAACATTCATAGCCCCAGCTTTTTCATCTGAAAGTCAACCACCTGCTACAGCTCGTCCATTCATCAGCAGCCCAGTATTAGATGCCACATCCTGTACAGCCAAAGAGCTCATCTCTTCTACACCGTCAGTTCCGAGTAGGCCAGCTCCAGAAGTTCCCTCCGGCAATGTTGAAACAACTGGTTACACTCCATTGACTGGTTCCTCCAGTAAACCAGCACGACCTTTATCCTCACCTAACTCACTTGCCATCGATGCATTCACATCTCAACCACTGGAAGATAAGAAAATAAAGGACAGTGGATCAAGTTATCCAACTCTGACTCGACTAGCCTCATTCATGATGCGTCAGAGTTTGGGGGGAGTTGCTAGGATTCAGAGCCAGAACCAAGGATCTGGCCAACCAAATGAGAAGGCTAAAGGCAAAGACAAGAGTAAAACTGTGGCAAGTGGGAGCAATTCATTGCCTAGGATCCACCATTATGGAGTAAAAGCCAACAAGCTGCAGATTGACAAAGAAGCACTCAGAAACCTACAGATCTCAAATCCCATCCCACAGCAAGACATTGACATTCCTCGGAAGATGGTACCAGTGAGACCTGGCCCAAGTCTACCTCCTTCCAATGACTCTTCTAAGCAAGTTGTAATGCGAGCACAGAGCTTACGAGATAAGGGACCAATTACACAGAGACCCTCCATACCAACATTTGGTTCAATGCGTCATGCCTCAGGTACCAAGCGGCCAACAAGCATCCCAGCTGGAGTACGCCCCACATCTCCACCTCCTCCTCGACCTCCTCCACCTCCTATCAAACCTGGGGAACAAGTAACAGGAATTATTGGCCTACCAGGATACCAGAATCCACCTACTGTGAGTCCAAAGGACTACTGTTATGATGACTGTTTTAACCTCCTCTCTGATGGCAGTGCTCCTCTGGCCAACATAGATGAAGAATCAAGTCCAAACAGTGGTGACAATATATATGCAGTGATTGAGGAGAGTCCTCCTGGAAGTGGCAGAAAGAAAATTTCTCCTCCATCAGAATATGCAGCCCCAGTGCCACCAAAATCAAGTGCAACCAGTGACAACCATGGTATAAATTCTAAATCTCAGTATTCATCACCCAATTTCAATGAATACAAGTCTCCTAAACCTGTGGAAAACAGCATTTCTGCAGGAAGTTTAGAGTCAGTTGGACTTCTTTCAGAAATTGTTAATGAGATCCAAGCCAGAAACATGGAATCAATATACAGCACATCAACACTTGGAAGAAAGAAGGAGAGCAAAGGGGATGGATCAGATATTGATGATACATCGTCTACCATTACAGCTACTGATTCCTCCATAGCTGGCTCTGCTTCTCCACAGCTGTCACGTGCGGTAGCTTCATCCAATAGTTCACTTGGAACATATGTGAATGCCAATATTTATCGCCCTGGTAGCAGTGTGTATAGCAACCTATCAATCCAGACAAACCCAGCGAGCTCACAGCTGCCTTCTATCAAGTCCTGTAGCAGTTCCTCCAGTTCAAGTAGTGGATATCTCAGTCCCAAGCCTCCAGCAACAACAACAACCCAGCCCCCTGTAGTTAAAAACACTTCTAACATCAGCATCAGTAAAGACTTCAGCACTTTTAAGTCTCCTCTTCAGACTGAAAACATGTCCAGAACACTTAGAACAGCTACAGCAACCACTCCTGTCACAAAGCCAGCTTCAGTTGACATTAAGAAAAAACAAAGTGTTCTCAGCTCTCCAACAACTACATTGCCCCAGAATGTTTCAACATATAAACCATACAGCTCCACCCTGCAGCGATCACTGGGGCCACTGGCAGCGAGTTTTCGAGGCAGTAGCTCATCGCCTATGCCTTCAGCTCTGAAAGATGGTAAAACAGATACTCTCTCAACTGAAACATCAAAACAGCTCACAGATCAGAATGCTATTCTTGCTTTGCCAAACAGGAACACCTTAACCAACATGTCAGCTGGCTCCCCTTCACCTGCCACATCTCCAAAAGTCCCAAGAACTAAGAGCTCCTCATGTGGTATAACAAAAGCTTCTAGCACTTTGTCATCAACTCAAGCACCATCTTTTCAACCTAGTCGGTTTTCCTTACACCACACTCCCACACCTCCTAGTTTGTCTGTGAAGACATCTGTTTCAGATGACAGTGTCTCTCCAAAACCTGTCTCTAACACATCAGAAGTACCCCTCACAGCAACAATCAATAGCAGTACTTTACATCAGGGAAAAGTTGTTGGTGTTGGAGTAAGGGGTCAGAATCCTCCAACTAGCAATAGTCCAGATGTTGTGTCAAGTTGCTCTGTGGGAGGAAGTGGCAACAGTGGAAGGTCCCCAGATGTCGTTGAAGGTGGAAAGGTGGATGCTAAAGCCAATCTGAAATCTCCTGATGTCATAGTTGCAAACAAAACAGTGAAAACTATTCCAAACCTTCCAACAAGAAGTACTGCCTCACATGGAGTGAATGCTGTGAACAGAAGTATATCTGCAGCTGGAAGTGGAGCTGCTAAATCTACAGCTGGCACTGGGAGTAGAGTATCATCTGTTCATTCTTCATTTAAAGGTGGCCCAACTGTGAAGCAGCCACAGCTGGCTCCAAAACCATCGATGTCAAGACCTGGTGCATCCATAGTTGCAGGAAACATTTCCCATCAGGAAAAGACAAAGACTGGGGCAGCTGGAGTGAAAGATATGAGCAGTAAGGTTACAGGAGTGGGGAGGGGGGTAACTGTAATAAAATCTGCTTCAGATGTAACAGCCAATGGGAACAAATCAGTGCCCGCAGTGGCAAGAGCTGCTGCAAGCAAACTCTCTCATGTTGCATCATTACAGCAGAAATTTGAAACTGTTGCAGCAAGTGAGAAAGGTGGACCAACAGTTGGTAGAACACCATCCAGTGCTGCCAACAAAACACGGCCAACTTTGTCTGTGGTAGGATCTAAAGCTACCAATGTGGAGCTGTCCACAGGTAGAAATGCTGGCTTTAAGAAATGAAATTCTTGAGTTGATATACATCATACTGATGTTGGCAAAAGTGGAGTTAGCTCCAGGTTGTGGGGTTGACTGTAATAAAGAGCTGACCAAACCAAGGCATTGGTTTAAGAAAGTCATGATCTCGACTAGTCAGATTGGATGGAGAGGTTTAGGCTCTGAATAGCTAAGTACTACTGTTCAAGGATCAGAAAATTTATGGCAATCAGGTTAGTCTTGTTAACTATCATTAGATGTGAATACAATGCAGTATTGTTTCTTATATAAAGATTTAGATGCATCTGCCAATCTACAGGAAAGATGTAACAAAAGCATAGCTTAATATTTATAATAATCAGTGATAAAGTCAACAGCATATCAGATTTTTAGTAAAAGATCATTTTTATGTAGTATTTTATTGAATCTTGTATAAGCTTGAAACTGCCCTGTGTTAAAATATGTTGGGAATTCAGTGTTTGTACTTGACAGGATTCCTTGAGGACAGCAGGTTTATGTTACTTCAGTTGTATATTTAGATTCCACAGTAGATTCAGTTTTACTGCCTTTAGGATTTAGTGAGATTTCTACTCTCGAAATTAAAACATTACATTAAATTATACTACATGATTGTAGTTGATTGACAGTTATTATCCATATGAACATCACTGTGTATGTAATATTGAGCTGATCAAACTACTGAGTTATTGCTATTGTAGAACCAGAATGTTTTGAACATTCACCACAGAAACATCTCTTATTGAGCCAGTTTATCATTCCAGCCCATGAGGATATACAGCAAATCCTGTGTAATTGGATTTAATGAACACCATCTGGTTTTGCCATCTGTGAAATTTAATGGAAACCCTTTCCCCATTATTAGTCCATCATCAAATTGAGGGTTTGCTGCATGTTTCTACCATTCTCCAGGTTACAAATGCTCTTATAAAATATTTTTCTTTTAGCATTTCTCTACCCTTAATGCTAATTGTCTGGGTTTTTGTAGGAAAGATCAGGTAGAAATCTGTCACCTAAATAAACACTTTACCATTATGATTATGATCTTCTGAGTTGTTACTGTTATGTCTGTGTAATGTGTACTTCTCATTTACTAGCTGGTTGTCCCATCTTCCTTTGCTGTAATGTATTAACAACTTTTAACTACAAATTTTTGTTGAGGTAGGATTTATAGTCGTGGGATCAATTTATGAAATCCTTATATATAAACTGTGCATCTAGACAGTTTGCTTTTAATTTCACTAATGCTCAGTAATTCTCTTCATCTGTTTAATAATTCTGTATTAAATGTAGTGGTGATTAGTACTGAGGCACATAAAAGGATACAGTGAAGGAATAGTCATCATTTGTTAAGAAGAACTGATAAAATTTATAATCTTTTAATATCCAATATTCCTGCCAAAATTTGACCCAGGTAACACTGAATTAGTCATACACTTTACTACTGTGGTAATCTGCTCATTCATAAGTGTTGGTTATATAAAGATATCAGAAGTACCACACATTATGTTGTTTTTGTATCTCTGTATTTGTAAGAAAACACTTGTTTAGCCAAGTTTTTTTATAAAGTTACAGTTGCTCTCAGTTCATTAGATAGGAACATGCAGGCATATAAAGCAAAATGATGGGTATCATCTGATCTCCAGTTAAGACTTGCTGATTGCTGGATTTGAATATGTGGAAGAGTTTTGTGCTACACACCAGTACTATAAAAAATTGATTAATAACTTGCTTTACGAGAGATCAGCATTTTGATTTTATAATTCAGCATCCCACACTTCTGGTGTTGTGTTATGGTGACATTCATGATGAAATTAGGAGTAGATTAAATGTGGTAAATGCTTACTACCATTAAGTTCAGAATCTTTATTTTCCTTTGTCCTGTCTACAAACTAAAAAATGCTGAATTGTCATTTTGTGTATGGGTGTGAAACTTGGCTTCTCACTCCAAAGACTGCAGACTATAGGTGTTGGACAATGAAGGGCTCAGGAACATTATTATGCATTCTTTGCATGAAGTGCATAGCAAGAACACATTAAGAGCTGGTTGTGTCTGTCCATCCATCTGTCCAGTCAATTCTCCTTGAAAACCACTGGATGCATGAAGTGCATAGCAAGAACACATTAAGAGCTGGTTGTGTCTGTCCATCCATCTGTCCAGTCAATTCTCCTTGAAAACCACTGGATGAATTTGGATGAAATTTGATATGGAGGTTGTGCTATTCTGCACGATGTCAGAATCATAGTTTTGAATATCCTATGATTGGTGATAACAAAATGATATATGAAGAAAGTCATGAGTTAGACATTGATGTGCTGTGATCTGGTGACCAAAGTGGGAACTACTGAACAAGGCAGATTTAATACTTTTAAATATACAATGCAAAGAATCCATGATAATATTATGTGTATTCCAGTATATAATACACTTTCCAAGCTTGTTTAACCTAGGAAGGGTGAAGTAAGAGGGGATTAAAAACAAAAACAAAATAGTTAAGAGTAATTAAATTAGGAAGAATGAGATGTGACATGTAGCACACACAGGGCAATGAAGACATAACAAAATATTGATAAGAAGCTCATAGGTGGGAGGATAACATTAAGATGGATATTAGACAAATGGGTGTGAACTGAATTCAGCTGGCTCAGGCATTTGTGAACACTGATGAATCTTAAATTCTATAAAAGCATCAAATTCCTTGATCTCCTGAGTAACTATCAACTTAAATAATGGCATCACCATGAAATTACTGTAACATGATTAATCTATGGGTAGTGGTGAAATATTTACCTTTCTGTTCTTGTATGAAATTTCTATCTTATTCCTGTGGATTCAGTGAGTTTTATTTATTGGTGAGAAGTAAAGTAGTTTATTGAGGAGCAAAGCTGGAAATAAAAGTAGGCTGATATGAATATGCTGTATGTTTCAGAAATTCATCTGACTGTTGAAAGCAAGGTAAAGGATAGTCATTCCATTGTAACAAATCCCACTTAATGATTGAAGAGAATTGAACTTGTGTTGCCTTTCAAGGCATGAAGCTCAACAGGTTTCATCTAGTTGTAAGCTATTGGTGTTACAACATTGTTAAAACTTTTTCATGAATTCAGTTTCAGTTCTGTGATATGTATTTTTCAAACTCTGACTGTAAAAGTGGTAACCATTTTCCTTTTAGCTCTTTGTGATATATTTACAGTGCTCTAGTAGTGTGGCTAGTACATAACAGGCAATTGAATCGGATATGACGATTTCACAGTTTAATAGTTTTTGTGATGTGTTAATAATGCTGGCAAAGAGCATAGTATATCATAGTTAGTCATGCTGCATACACATATATTCATGAAGTTCACTCCAGTTCACCTATTTGACTGTTATTATCTATAATACTTAGTGTTTCCTTTCTTCTTCCTTCCTACAGATATGAAAGTATGTTCTCAGTTTTTAAATTGTATTCATGCTTCATTATCATGGTCACACCCATTTGTAGATTGTCACTTCATACAACAATTGTTTGTTTCTGCCTTAAAATTGTGTATATGTGCATGACTATGGAGTTATTATACTTATTATCTTTGTCTTCTCTTTTTATGTAATTCATCATATTGTTCCTGTTCATTAAACTGAGTATTTTAATATATTCCTTTCTGCACTATTTTTTCATAGAAGATGATACTTTACTGTTTATATATGTCCATGATAAATTTTATTTTCCATTGTCAAAATCCACAAATAGCTTTAGCCCTCAATAAAAGGTAGAGAGGTTTTTCTTCATTAATACTGACAAACACCAGTGGTAGAACAGACAAGACTGGCATTTTTAAGCAAAACATCACAGTTGTAGCATGGAAAGGGTTAAATAAGTCATGGAGCAAGGTACATAGATACAAAAGTAAAGCTCTTGCATGTTATAAGAAATACTACTTCATAATGTAGAATTGTAATTGTGAAACTTAGCAGATGAAATCAGAAAACAGATGTCTACTCAGAGTAGGTTTATGGTTAAGCCTATACTACTACTGTTTCTCTTTTCCTTAAATTAGTGTGAGCAGGTGAGAGTACAGACCAGGCTAAAATCAATTCCATACATTGCAATGTCTTCAGCTTCTTGAAGTCTATAAAAAGAGAGAGCCATAGGGTAAGTGCTGTTCAATAATTTTTCCTGAAGGACATTTGCTCATCTTTGTTTTTGCCATTCCATCAGGTTTGCAGCTGAAGCTTGCACAGGACAAACTCCCTCCCATAAAAGGTGACTGTCTTTTTCATACTCACTGCCATAAGAACCAGATATCTCCTTCCTATAAAAATGTTCTTGCTAGTGTATAAGGTTGCTTGCGCTCCACATATGTTTGTTAAATCATGTGTTATACTGTGCAGGCTCTTTTTACCCTGCCAAAGGGGCCCAGTAGAAGTAGCATTTTGATGTATTCTCCTGAAATTATATTTGTGAAAATTTTGTAAAATGTTCTAACACTACCTTTATACTTTAAAGCAAGAATTCAGTGTTTTGAATTCTTTTGTTATCATCACTTTCCTTTATACAGGGAATTCCAGTCCATCCCTCACTGATTAAATAGAGTTTTTGGAAGACTTTAGGACTAGGGCTTATTGGCCTTACAGTACATTTGCTGATACATTACAGTAGCACAAATTTATGCTAGTAAATATCAGTATTTGTTCCAAGTACCTCTTGGAGTCTCATTCTTGAGGGGAGACAATTTCTACAGAACTCAAGAAAATTGTGTCAGGTATGGGGAGTGGTAGGAACCATAAAACCACCAAATTGTCCAAACAGAACAAATGTTGCATAGTCCACCATTGACAATCTGCATTTACACATATTTTATTGGTTATCAATGCTTATGTCCAAATTTAGACAGATATTTTACAAGTTATACTTTATGTTTCCTGCAATAACAACAGTTAAAGGTTTGATGAGGCTGACTTCCAGATATTTACTCTTGCAAAGATTTTTCACATTTAAAAGATAAACCTTGAAAGGTGCAATGCAAGAAAAATGAACCAAAAACTAAGCATTTTATTATGGTAGCTACTTCTGTTTTATTATATTGTTGAAAATACTTCTCAAGTCAATCTTCAAAATATTGCTACTGTAATATCATGTTAAGAGTATAAATCATGGTGTAAAATTTACAAAAATTTATATCTGAGGCCAAGAACTTGTTACATTGTGTAATGATGTCCTTTTGCTGCTAATAATTGTAGACTACAGTCATATGGCAGCACTTGAGCAGCAAAGGATAAACTATATCAGAATCTTATGGATAAAACATCCTCTAGCCTATTATAATGATTGTGTCCAATTAGTCTGGAAGAGAATGCTGAATGTATAAAAGTTTCATTAGTAAGTCCACCAATGTTGTCTTCTTTTTAATGTAACATATTATATAACTCAAATATTTTATTGTATACATGCCAAAGATTTTTGTATCGTAATAATAAAATCTGCACTTTGTGTATCATGCTATTTTATTGCAGTCCTCAATCATGTGGGGCTTGTTCATTCAGACCTCTCCTTCAGTAGGCTCTAAAGGAAAAACTAGAACATGTGTCAAGAAATTGCTGCCATTGCTGTAGATGTTACAGTGTTTATTCACAAATTTGGAACATCACATCTAGTAAATGGATGACTGAGGTGACCACTTTCAGCACCTCATGTGATGGGATGTGGTATCACAAGGAGTGAGGTGTGTACTTACATTTGATCACTGCAAGTGTATAAACAGTGGTTTAATTGCTAAAATTCTGACCTCCAGTATGAGGATCATCCTGTACACATTCAATGTTAAACAGCTGTGTGTGTTGATGCATGCATCATCAGGCTACAATATATTCAGAATTTGTTCTGATATCTGTGCCTTCAGCCAGGAAATGATTTCATGTGCATGTTGTCACTAGTTGCAAATTGGGACTGTGATGTGCTGATACCTTACTGTTTGAAATACTCATATTTATAGCCTGATGCAGACATTGAAATATGTAGCTGTTAACATTGTCTGTGTGCTGCTCTCAAACATCTTACAGCTTATTGTAATAAAAGATATTTTTATGTCAAAGTGAAATTTAAAATGTATCCATATGTCCCCAAAAATCTTGTCAGGACAACTTATATTTACTTTAAGATCCATTTTAGAATTCCCTCCTTTCCATGCCTTAGTCTCCCAAGCAGTCTCTGCTTCAGATTTCTTAAACTAAAAATTTGTATTCTCATTCTCCCATGTATACTTCTGGCCTCACTGAATTCATGTTTATTTACCAAATACAAGTGATAATTTATGTGAAGTTGATTACCCCTTGTAACCTCTTTTGTTGTGTTGTAAGAAAATTTCTCACTGGTGGGAAGGAATATCACAAAATTTGTGTATGAATATGCTAAAAAGTTGACTAGTTAGGACTTAAACTTGCAGTTCTTGTTGACCAGGAAGGCGTTCTGGACTCAACAGGAAATGTTTCAATGTCCAAGTGAACCAGATGCCACTGTGTTATTCTTATTAGATGGTGGGTCAGCCTGCAAATTTAACTGAAGTATCCAAACAGGAGAAGAAAGAAAGAAAGAAAAAAATACTGCATATCAAATATACCACAATCTTTTATTTCAGTTTTAGCAAAAGATGCTGCCTCACTTCTTACTGACATTAAGATTACCAATATAATAGATTGAAGACTAAGAAAATCTGAAAGGAGGCAGTTAAGACCCACACTGGGTTGTAGAGCCACAGGAAGAATATAATGCATTGATAATTTCAGAGAGAGAACATACCAACAAACTGTCCAGTTGAAAGTAATGGCAACAGCTTGTTACTGTGATAAATATGACTACACAAACTGAAGAAATTTTATAATTTTATTAGAAACTGAATGGTTTTTAAATAGTACAACATACACACCATACAAAAGATCACTTGAATTAAGATACTTCAATAACACAAACAGAAAAGTTGATTCCTTACAAAAACAGGATATTACAAATGTTTCACACCTAAACACTTGATATATCAGACAATTACAACATAGCATTATTCTGAACCACAAAGAAACTATATGATGGGAAGCATTTTGTTTTGAATAATCAACTGATCCCAAATAGGAAGAAAAATAATTTACATAGTACACCCTTAAAAAACAAGACATAGAATAATGTCCTTCACTTGCCAAAACTTCTCCATAAAGCTTTATAAATTCCTTATGGACACATCCCAACTGAAAAAGATGTATTCATTATAAGCCATAACGTAAACTTTGTTCATTGACTAATTTTCATTGATCACACAATTTAATTTTAACCATCTTGCTGAACAAATGGATTTGGAATGCTTTCCATTCCATCCACAGGACATATAAGCACTACAGAAGTGCCTCTACAAACTACAAGTCCCAGCATTCGGGTGTCTTCTGTCAGTTTATATGGATCATCAGGATCTCTAAGAACTTCTGTGGTATTGTCAAGCACAAGATTCAATAGAGGATCGTATCCCTTAAGAAGGCCTGCTGCTTCTCGACCCCCTGCAAATTTAACACGAATATTTTTTTCCAAATACTTAGATAAATCAAGAATAGTTTCTTTTCTCTTGCGTTCTTCCTTTTGATCTCCTTGCCCCTGAATTGCTGCCATCGATTATGTTACGTGTTAACTGAATGAGCAAACTCTGAAATCCAAAATTGTTCGTCATAGTCAAACATAACCTTACATAACATGTAATCCACGCTAAATATGCAACATGAACCCAAGTTTTTAAGAAGAATAAGTAATGCTTTCAATAAAGAAGACATTTAAATTGTTGATACGTAACAAATGAAATCATTTACTGCATTAAATTACTGAAGGACCCTGCATCGTTAGCCAAGCAAAAATGCTTACCTCAGCTTCATATAAATGACAAATAATCACAAAACAGAACCAACAAAATGCCAATATTTTAAAGTTTACAAACGCATTACAGCTTTCAAGGTTTTATTTCAATTACTTAATCCAAACAGTACAATTTCGAACAAAATTTGTGCGCTAAATTTAACGTTACAATCGTACGGCACCTGCAGAAACGTTTCTTTGGTTATATGTGTACCCTGAGGTTTTCACAAGTAAGGCGGTGGAAACCAACCATGGTCTTATAGGTTATCCATGCATCCGAATTTTGAAACATAAAGCGAGCATCTACGACGTACCTTAGACGTGATTTTCCTTATACGCGGGGATTGCGTCCCTGTGAATCCGCAGCGCAGAAACGTATAAATGTCGGTGAACTCTCTGAATGATATAGTATGAGAGGATCACAGTACTTTGGTGGAAAATTCTTCAATTTGTGTTATACGCCGTTATGACACAGCCATACCTGAGTTACATACCTACATATTTATTACGTTCCATGGATCCATAAGATAGATGCCAATAGGATGTGGAAAAAGTGATAATAATAATAATACAATACATATTATAAAGTACAATTTATACTATTATATAAATTTCACATAATACAAACAAAGGGTTTACCTAAAGTAATGGTAAGTTACAAATAAATCTACCCATTACATACAAAAGATAAATTATTACTTATTTGGAAATAACAGAAATTCATCGACAGAGTAAAAGTTATCTTTTTCTCCCTCTTTTTCTTTCATAATGACGAACTTTTTATCCAGGGGCATGCACCATAATGTGTTTCGATATCAATATGTAGTAATTTAATTCTTGAATCTTTTGTCTATATATTTGAAATTTTCCTATGTTTTATGTTTGTTTAACAGTGTTGTTACTCTCATATAATAACCGTGGATGATATCGATTGGTTGGGACTCCTATCACTTAAATTATATGTTCAGTGTAATCCATATGTGCGTGTTTTGGTGTAGTATTTTAGTGCTGTAAGAGTAATATTTAAGACATTGCAAGTTTTGTCTTTAATTTTCATTTTTATCAACGATAGGTTACACGGAGTTGCATGTCATTAAATTATAAGCGACAGATTTAAATATGAATTCTGTGTTTATTATGCACCGTCTAGAATGCGAACGGATTTTCGGAGGTGAGCAGCATAATTTTCATTTAATTACAAAAGGGTAAAATACTACCTCTGTGCATAAATTGTGTTAACGAGAACATAAGTTTACGTTGGTCGCTAACACAGGATTTTTAACTTACGACAGGGCAGTGAAATTGTAGGTTTTAGTATCCCATGTTCGAATTTCAAGGCCTCTTCTGACACAACCAGAGCTTGTATTGTTTATTTTGAGCAGTGAAAATAGTATCTAAGATTTGAAGCTGTAACAGAAACTTAAAGTCTTGTATTAAATGGAGTGTGTATCAAACATTGCATTGCTGCTATTGCTTATGGTTTTTTCAACATCTCTAAAGATAGAGTACTTAAATGTGTGGGTATAAATCTACTAGGAATTTGTGTTTCTAATGTAGTATTTTTCAAAGAATCAGCTCTGTCTAGTGCTACAGTCAAGAATGAAGCTTTATCTTCTTGATCCATATATACTTTTGTTGCGTGGTGATAAGGCACAGTGGTGACTTTGCCAGATATCAACATTAAACTTTAACATTGAGCTTTTCCATGCGAAACTGTTCCTCACGTATGAACAATTAAGTTATGACTGAGGAAAGATTCTTTGCATTTTTCTATGTAAACATAAGTGGTAAAGTTACACCAGAAGAACGGTATTGTACTGAGCCTCTTTATTGAGAAATAAGTATTTATTTGTTGACAGTTCAGCATGGATGTGATGAAAATGGAGCCTGATTTAGATTCTGGATCAGGTTCATTATTTGTGTGCAGTGATGCCCAGCAGGCAGATGTAACTTTGGTTGAAGTCATTGCTACCCAGCAGAACATCATACAAAATATAAGGAATAAAATGGACACTGCAACAGTGCAAGAAGCTGCATCAGTTTCAGCCAGATTGTTGGCTAAATGTCAAGTTAGGGTGAGACCTATACCTTCATAATGATTTCTTGGTCTTAGTTCTTCAACTGGCTGATGTTAGCACATAATGGCTGTAATTACTGTTCATCTGTGGTATTTCAGTATACTGATGTGTTACTTTATGATGACCCTCCATTGACACTAGAGGATGAGGATGACAAGAATAGAAACTGATGTTTTTATGCTTGCTAATTATCATCCCACTAAAAGCTGTGAAAGGCTGAAAATAAAAGTACTTCAGTAGGTTTACCATAGTTTGGTCCATTTAATCTTTCCTAATGCAAAATTGTGTTGATGTGCCTGATATAATTATGTAGTTATATTATTTATTTTTCCAGAAAGGCTTAACGAATGTCACTTCAATCAAAGAAGAGTCCAGGGATGATGGAACATCAGAGGAATATGGAGTGTACCCAGGAAGGTGAATTTTAAAGAAATGCTTTATTATATTTGCTTTAAGGCACATTTAACCAATTTGTGGTAACACTTCATATTTTCGTTAAGTTTGTCTGTTTATCCAAGTCAGATGTCTCTGGCTGTGAATGTTTCTTAATAACATTTATGTACAGTATAGAATTGTTTTCCAAAGTAGGCAACATGGTCTACCACAGAGAAGGCCAAAACTTTATATTGGAATTCTCTTGGTAATAAGTTCTTCAGGTGTGGTTTTCTTTTACAGTGTGGAGGTGTTAATCAATCAACAGGACATGTCTGATGGTGATAGCAGTTCAGCACTTCTCAGTACATGCTCTAATAGTCCCAGTAAAAACATTGACACCTCTAGTGAGAATGGCAATGTAAATATGCCAACAGAATGTGAAAACTTAAAAAAGAAATCTTCTTTGAAAACTCAAGTTAAACATTACAGGTGTGCTGAATGCAATAAGGAGTTTTCAAAACTAGGAAACCTCAAGTTGCATATTGGTAAACACACTGGTGAGAACCCTTTCAAATGCAAAATATGTAATAAAACATTCATTATTATGGGAAGTCTAGTCAGGCACAAATGTATTGATGTAGGAGCCAAGTGTTACAGTTGTCAAATATGTGAAGGAGTTTTCTCAGATACTGATAGTTTGGCAAAACATCGTCATTCTCATTTGATAGACAAACCATACAATTGTGGAATATGTGATAAAGCATTTGCAGACAGTGGTAACCTTGCCAAACATAGACGAACCCACACTGGAGAGAAGCCTTATAATTGTGAAATATGTGACAAAGCTTTTTCTAGAAGTGAAAACCTAGCAAGGCATAGACGGACTCATTCTGGAGAGAAGTGTTTCACATGTGACGTTTGTAACAGATCGTTTTCACGTAGTGAGAATCTTGCAAAGCATACACGTGTCCACATGAAGGAAAAATCTTGCAGTAATGAGAGTGATACACAATTCTTGCACAGAGGAAGTCTCGAGGTACTAGATGAAAGAAATGTGTCAGGGAAGCGTTATAAGTGTGGTATATGTAATAAACGTTTCTCAGGTAGTGGCAATCGGGCAAAGCATATCAGGACACACACGGGGGAAAAGCCTTACAGTTGTGTAGTATGTAACAAACAGTTCTCACGAAGTGAAAATCTCTTGCGACACAGTCGAATCCACACAGGTGAAAAATTTTACAGTTGTGACATGTGTGACAAAAGCTTCTCACGCAAAGAAAATCTAGATAAACATAGACGTTCCCATGCAGAGCAGACTTAGTAGTGCACAGTCTGTAAAGAATATTTTTTAAATGCCTCAGTATAACTTACGGGTATGAAATTTGTAAATAAAATTTTCTTTCAGATTGGAGGGTTGTATCAAGCATGTTCCTATATCATCCTTTCTTACTTTCTTTACTGGGGTGTTCCTTCATCTTTCTCGGAGCAGTTATAAGTAAAGAAAATTTTCTTTCAGATTGGATGTGTGCAGAAGCATTCTTCCTTATTATTTATGAAGGGGTGTTCCTTTGTTGGTCTTATTTGCCACAGTTACCAGAGTAAACACATCCCCTGGACATTTCACTTTAATTAACTTTCATATTTTTACATAAATTGTACAAATTCAGCAATCTCTCATTAGCTGTGACTTAACATTTGTGCCCAGTTTTTCCAGTCACAGCATTTGGGTATGTATCCATGGTTTTTAATTTGTGCACCCATGGAAAATATTGGTGGCTTCCGTACCAAGAAATGTAAAAGCGCTGTCATCATCATCATCATGGACTTAAAGTATCATTAATCTGATGTCTTAAAGGCAAAAAATAAAACTCATGATGTTTTAATCAGCATGTTATCTGAACATGTATTATTTTCAATTGATATTATGTATTCTGTATTTGGTGAAGGTATAGGCAACACTTAATTTACCATAAGGCCTTGGCCTTGCTAACTGTGGTGTTTCCAGGAATGTAACCCCTACAATTTGTGAGGGATTGCTTTACAAGACAAGTCATGTATGCTGGTAATTAAAAAAAACTTGCATACTCCCCTATATTTCAAAAATACAGTTTCTTAACAAAATATATAAGAATTCCTTTATTGCAACAAACATTCTGCCTTATGCATGCCTCCCACACCAGTCAGCAGGCTTTTATTATTGTTACATCACATAATTCATGTGTTGAAGAATGGTTCATAAACTTTTATTTCAGTAAATACATTAATCTTGGGACTTCCAACTAACACAGTGCAGCAGAATAATTTCTGGTATTTCCGAAAGCAGCTGTCATACTTTTTCATTTACACAACCATCTTTTACAAATTTAAGGATAGATGACTTATTTTATGTACCCCTCCTGTATTTTTGTCCAAATTGACACCACTGTCACAGCACATTTGATGTCACGGTAAAGTAATATGCAAATTATCATCTTTGATATGGACATCATTTTGTGATAGTGCTGGCTGCAGTTCTGCAAAGTGTCCAGAATGGGAAGTAATGTAAACTATGTACTAAATTTAAACTTTTTGAGTTTACCTCTCTGATATTCACTGTACTGGGGTAGTGATTTATTTGTTCATTACACATCCAGTGTATTTTCTCATTTGAGAATTAAATTAATTTCTAATTCTACTGTTATTTTATGGAATTAAAATTAAATTTAAAATTAACATTTTTTGTTTATCAAATCACATGAATAATAAATCATATTCAATATCTGATGCATTATGACATAGCAAAGGCATGGTGTAGGCTGTCTTACAGCTCAAAGAAAGTTTGACATGGAGTAAATTACTATCTGTCTAACTGTTAACTATTACTCTTTTAAATGGTTTTCATTCATCACTAATGAAGTGTTCTTCTCAATACATGCTTATACAAAAAAAAAAATACGTTTCACATTAGGTGTTATAGTTATTAGTACAGAGTTTATACCATTAGGAAAATATATATACATACCTATGGCTGTTGGAAATATACAGGGCTATTCAAAAAGATTGTCGCGGATTTGTGAATTTTTGTGGAGCAATGCATTAAACATACGACTATTATCTTTACACTGGTGGATAAAGAAACTCTCAAAGTTTTGTTCTGTACCGCCCGCCATCCAGTAGTTACGCGATTGGCCGCCAGGTGCCAGATTTTGCAATATGGCGTCTAACGATAAGAAGAAGGCTTTTTGTACTCTCGAATATCATCAAAGTCGGTTCGTTACCATTGTCCAACGGAACTTCCACACGAAATTTGGGAAGGATCCCTCTACCTGCGATTGTCCCGGATCTGAAGGTACGTATCAAAGCCGCCATTCTGAACATCACCGCTGACACGCTGGGGCGTGTGTGGGAAGAAATGGACTATCGTGTAGATGTCTGCAGATTGACAGGAGGCGCACATATTGAGCATTTATAATTCATGTAAAAAAACTTTGAGAGTTTTGCTACACAATAAAACAAAATTGTTATTCCTACCTCAATTGTACTACGTGTAGTGATTTTTTAAAACCCTGACAATCTTTTTGAATAGCCCTGTGCATTCCTACAGAATAAAATTTCATAGAGAAAGACAATAAATGACAGAAGGAGACCCAGGAGCAGAATATAAATAGCTGATTGCATATGCAGTAAGCTTAACTTAATATATTCCCCACTCAGCACATCATTTTCCACTCTCGATCTCAAAGATGTTGTGTACTTGATGTCTTTGAACCACTGATCTATAATCCCAGCCTGCAGCAAATGAAGAATAATTTGGTTGAACCGATCTAACATTATATAGCCCTTTGGTACTGGCACGGTTATCAACTGTGACGAAAATATCTCTTCAAAAGAACAGATCAGCTGTTTCCCATCACCGTTTGTGTATCTAGCAGCAATTGTAAAATCCATGCTGAATGTGGAGTATATGTAAGAAAAGTCACGTTTGAACGCAATTCTGTCTTGGCATACTTTGTAGTCATTGCAGTGTAATAAACGTTGGTAACGATAACCTGTTAGATCTGGGACAACAGACAAAACAGGAGCAGGGACACCATATTCCATTCCGGAGTTGATGACCTCTTCATCAGAGGAAATCTGATGTTGAAGACCTGGATCTACTAAGAAGCTAGTTAGATACGTCTGGTAAACAGTGTTGATGGCCAAACAGTATAAAACCCATATAAGGAACACCATCCTGATAACAGGCTTTTCGGGAGGGTTGTTAGGGACACTCTCTCCCAGGATAATGGCCCAGAAATTCATGAGACATTTCACCAGACTGGTGTAACCTTGGTTCTCCATCGACTGTGTGAACATCGTGTTGCTCTTCTTCACCACTTGCCACATAATAAAAGCAACAATGAAGTAGGATACTAGGAACCCCAACCAGAGAGACAGAGTAAACACCCTGATGAGACTCATCCAGCCAGGGAATGGGGCAGCACAAGGCACATACCACCTAACATGATCGATCATGTGGGGTGTCAGGCATTCTGTTCCTTTTATTATATCACATCTGTAAAAGTAAAGATCCATAGCCACATCTACCAAACCTAGGACCAGCTGACCAGAAGTGCCTGTCCAGGATCCATTTTCTAAAGGAACTCCCCACAACTCACCACTTGGTGGTTCAATGTATTTAACAGTCATATTTGTGGCTGATCCGAACTCTTGGAGTAGTCGTATCTCGATGCCTTCGTTGAAAACAGTCTTTGCTGAATCTTCTGTAGTGAATTTCTTGCTCATAACAGCAGGTTCTAATTCAAAAAGTGATGCAACAATGGGGCATCCTTGGAGATCCTTTGGCACCTTCTCTGGAAACAGGGTTGCATTATTCAAGAAGCTTCCATTGCCATACTTATCCACAATCCAATGATCCAGCACTACTGGGTCTCTGACATCGGCACAGCGACCGGGCGGACGGTACGGGAACCAAGTGTACACATCCAATACAGGAACTGCATCTGTTGTGTTCTTTGGTCCCAAAGCAGGGATTACAGCAATCATGTTTATAACTCTCCATCTCCACAGTTCATTGAAAACATCAGCTGCAAGCTGCTTGGTAGAGTTTCCTTCTGCATGTGGCAGTGTTATAATGAATTTTGCTCTTGGATTCCAGTCCCAGTCGTTTCTGAGTTTCTTGATCTGGACTGATACATCCTGTACCACATTTTTATGATGATGATGTAATGATATTATAATGTAGCTGCCATGTTTGCTCTGTGGCATTTCCTCGTTCCACTTATCGTTGTTTAAATAGAGCAACAGTGACCATTTTTCTGATTTGTGCAAATCTTGCAGAAGTTTGTTCCCGAAGTCTCTCTCCCAATATAATTTGTTTCTTTCTTGAGTTTCATTTTCAAGAATTCTACTGAGACTTTCTTGAAGTTGAGAATTGTAATATGCGACTACAAGGGCATGCACTGGTGTGAAATGTTTCAATGAAATGTCATTTAGACATTGTACCATTTGCTGCTGAACTTGAGTTGGTGTCTGCCACAACACACTCACTACCAACGTAAACATTGTTCTGCTGCCGATGTTTGACTGTGAGCTGTTCTTCAGATCATGTTTTGTATGAAGCCAGTTTCTTTACTTAGAATTTGTCTGTTCACATATTGACTGTGCGTTCAGTGATAATTTTATATTCAGCAGAACATTTTTATGGGCAATTTTTTGTATGGGAATCAAACTTTGTTAACTCAGAGTTTAGATTCCTTATTTAATAATGTGCAAATGCATGTGTGTGAAGAATGAATGGCAGTCAATATGACATAGAGTGTATCAGTTTATTATTCACTCTTGTTTACTTGACAATCTATATTGCTTGCATTTGTGAATATGGCACACAGCGTAAACTGAAGTTACTTCATTGTGATTTATTTTAGACAGCCCAATTGTAAAGTGACATCACAAGTAGTGTAACAGTCAGTGTCCCATGTCATAGTGTCCAAATGTAGAAGTGACTAATCTTCAGATGTAATATTGTTTTGGGGGAGAAAAAAAGTTCATGTTAGAGTATTGATATAACATCAAAACTCATTACAGTTTTATGTCCATATTAAGTTCAAAAATCTTGTAAATTACAGTTGTTTTTATTCTAACATTCAAAGAATTGTGTAGAATTTTTTCAGCTTATTGTAAGATGTCACCAAATGAAATAATTCATCATGATGTGTCCAAATTCATTATATTAAAATAAATTGATATACAGGTTAAGAAACAAGAGAAAAGTGTCTTACATCATACCACAAGAGAATATATTCCATGATTCTGCCATTAAAGAAATCAAGAAAGTTTATCCAAAACAATTTTAGGCTCATCTATGACAGCAGAGGGATGCTCGGAAGACACCCCTAGGGAGGGTCAATAGGATACTCTGGGAAGGAATTTTACCTAGCTGTAACCCTTACATTTTGAAAATTGTTTCTGGATACTATGATATTGTATGATATTGATGTTGCATAGAAGCTGCCCTGGAATTTGTCTGGACGTAGTGGTGAAGAGAGAAAGAATCCCTGCATCTCCCAGGATCATAAACCAAGTAAAATATTTTATATCATTCCTCATATTGGTCTAAACCCAGAAGGGAATGCTAAAATACACGATGACGCATCAAGAATCCGATTTATTACAGAATGAAGATAAAATCCAGTTTTATTGAAACTGATTTTCAGAACACAAAGAATTACGTGCAGAGTCACGAAACTTCGGCATGCATTATTGGGTAGTCTTTACGCCTCTGAGACTAGCGTTTGTGAATATAGTATATAAAAGCACTAGAAGAAAAAGGTTCCATAATCTCATTAGTAATATATTATGACGTATGACTGAGGGCAGATCCAAACATACTAGTTTGAATTCCCTATCCTTTACAAGTAAACTCTTTATTTTATAAAATCTGCTGTCACTAGGATGTATTTAGTTTATTGATCATGTGTTACTGTTATTCCGTACATTGTCTCCAAGATGCCAGTATTCTTTTCCCACATATTTTATTACAGATATTAATATACTTCTGCATGAACGGTTATGACATTGTTTTAAAATATAATTTGTGTAATTTTAATTAGACCTTCAGATCTATTATACATTTTTGTTGCATGCATGTTATGGAAAATACCTTCCGGACCAAACTAAACATAGTAGATATTGTGACGAAACTTTGAATCAAGGTGTCATTTCAAATCAGCTGGATTGTTGATCTAAATTGAAGATTTAAAGCGTCATTATCCTATGCCTATCCACTGCTTTACCTTATAGCCATATTGTATTTGCATATGCGTATAATTTGAATTTAAATTTCTTTCTCGGAATTATCTACTTTCTGCCTGTGCAATTTGCACCGCAGACACACTCCCTGGAGGTAAAGTGATGGGTCGTAAAGCTGGCCACACATCTCCAACGAGGTTAGGAATGCGTGAAGTACCTCACCTCCCAGATAAGCATTTATGGTGTTCAATTCAATACTGTAAAAATACTTTATAACATTCGGAATTAACACAATCGTCTTTTTACAGCTGAGACACTTCTCGACACGGAATCGTTTGGATGCGGCAAATTGACAGGTCGAAAATGCATTTTATTAATCTGAATCGAAGACTTGATAAGATGTCAAAGCATTCTGTACCCGTGCGTAATTCTTTGTACTGCCTTTAAAGTGTTTCAGAAATTCCATCCATAACAAATTTAATATTTTCTCAAATCTACTAAAAATTTTATTAAAAGAAGAAGTATGCATTTATCAGAATTAATTCCAAAAGAGTTCTTTTTGCTGATGACTTCTGGGTTGCTGCACCTTGTAGTCTTGTAGAAATTTATCAACATTTCAAAAGTTCTTACTGCCTTCATCATCAGAGGTGTAAATAAATTACGTGCTTTGTGTAGGTTGCATGGGGAGATGAGAAATGACTTGCAGAATTGTTGTTCAAAAGCCTGAAGGGAGGCCTCTAGGAAGACCTAGATGTAGGTGGAATTACAATATTAAAATTTATCCTAAGGAAATAGAAAGGGAGGATATGGACTGGATAGTGATCTGTGGCTAGGTCTTGTTCCACGGTAATACGTAGACCTGGGATAGCTGAGCAACTAAGAGCTTCCCAGGAACTCTGCTCAGCCTTTCACATAGCAAAGAGATCAGTTATAACTCTTCAACTATATGAATGCGTGTAGATCCACATTCTCAGAAATTCAAAGTGTATTTCATGTCAGTTACATAACATATTCATGTGACGTCAACATTGATTGACTTATCATGCAAACTACAAATCATTCAACAAACCGTGTCCTCAGTACGTTGCTTCTAAGAGGGAAGTGCTGTGCACAATCACATGTTGTATTTCTCTATTCATAAAGAACTAATCCCAACTTCAGGTCTGCAATAAATCATCAAGAATAATCCTAACACCCTTTTCTCAGCAAAAAATATTTACGAGCATTTATAACCGAGTATCTGAGGCGTTTTAGACGTTCTGGGTAAACGGGAAAAGGTGACTTGTATTAGAACTGATACATATTCTCTGGCCAGATGGCTGTCACAAGCAGCTTACAATGAGGCGTATTATATGTAGGACATTGATTCCCTAACTCTCTGTCTAAGGCTCCCTTTACCTGAATGAAGGGATCCACCCCTTCCCCGCATCGACCTGTAGATTTTATTTCAAATGTTATTTAGCAATTTCAAAAAAAATAATCGCAAATGAACCTTACTGTGTCTACGACGTATCCATGCTATGATAGCGCAAGTTTGTAATTGAATGATATGGGCATTAATTACACAGAAACAAACAGTGTAGTTCTAGATAAAGATTTAAGATAATGAGTGGAGTGCATAATACTTAAGGATACAAAAAACGTAAATTCATACAGAGTAACATTTCTAATAGGAAAACAGCAAATGACAGAAAGAGACCTAGGAGCAGAATATAAACAGCTGACTGCATGTGCAGTAAGCTCAACTTAGTATATTCCCCACTCAGCATGTCGGTCTCCACCCTAGAACTCAGGGACGTGGTATATTTTATGTCTTTGAACCATTGCTCTAATATTCCAGCTTGTAGCAAATGCAAAATTATGCTGTTGAACCGATCTAACATCATGTAGCCCTTCGGTACCGGCATCGTTATTAGCTGAGATAAAATTATTTCTTCGAAAGAACAGATCAACTGCTTTCCATTGGCATCTGTGTACCTAGCAGCAATAATGAATTCCATGCTGAACGTGGAGTAGATGTAAGAAAAGTCACGCTTGAAAGCAATTCTATTCTGGCAGCCTTTGTGGTCATCGCACTGCAATAGATGTTGGTAACGACAATTCGTTACATGTGGGATGACAGTTGAAATAGCGCTAGGGACACCATATTCCATTCCGGAGTTGATGACCTCTTCATCAGAGGAAATCTGATGTTGAAGACCTGGATCTACCAAGAAGCTAGTTAGATACGTCTGGTAAACAGTGTTGATGGCCAAACAGTATAAAACCCATATAAGGAACACCATCCTGATAACAGGCTTTTCGGGAGGGTTGTTAGGGACACTCTCTCCCAGGATAATGGCCCAGAAATTCATGAGACATTTCACCAAACTGGTGTAACCTTGGTTCTCTATTGACTGTGTGAATATCATGTTGCTCTTCTTCACCACTTGCCACATAATAAAAGCAACAATGAAGTAGGATACTAGGAACCCCAACCAGAGAGACAGAGTAAACACCCTGATGAGACTCATCCAGCCAGGGAATGGGGAAGCACAAGGGACGTACCACCTCACATGGTCGATCAAGTGGGGCGTAAGGCATTCCACTTCCTTAATTACGTCACACCTGTAAAAATAAAGATCCATAGCCATATCCACCGAGCCTTGTATTAGCTGACCGGAAGCCCCCGTCCACGATCCGTTTTTTAGGGGAAGTCCCCACAACTCCTCATTTGGTGGTTGTGTGTATGTTATAGTCATATTTGTGGCTGATCCAAACTCTTGGAGTAGTCGTATCTCGATGCCTTCGTTGAAAACAGTCTTTGCTGAATCTTCTGTAGTGAATTTCTTGCTCATAACAGCAGGTTCTAATTCAAAAAGTGATGCAACAATGGGGCATCCTTGGAGATCCTTTGGCACCTTCTCTGGAAACAGGGTTGCATTATTCAAGAAGCTTCCATTGCCATACTTATCCACAATCCAATGATCCAGCACTACTGGGTCTCTGACATCGGCACAGCGACCGGGCGGACGGTACGGGAACCAAGTGTACACATCCAATACAGGAACTGCATCTGTTGTGTTCTTTGGTCCCAAAGCAGGGATTACAGCAATCATGTTTATAACTCTCCATCTCCACAGTTCATTGAAAACATCAGCTGCAAGCTGCTTGGTAGAGTTTCCTTCTGCATGTGGCAGTGTTATAATGAATTTTGCTCTTGGATTCCAGTCCCAGTCATTTCTGAGTTTCTTGATCTGGACTGATACATCCTGTACCACATTTTTATGATGATGATGTAATGATATTATAATGTAGCTGCCATGTTTGCTCTGTGGCATTTCCTCGTTCCACTTATCGTTGTTTAAATAGAGCAACAGTGACCATTTTTCTGATTTGTGCAAATCTTGCAGAAGTTTGTTCCCGAAGTCTCTCTCCCAATATAATTTGTTTCTTTCTTGAGTTTCATTTTCTAGAATTCTACTGAGACTTTCTTGAAGTTGAGAATTGTAATATGCGACTACAAGGGCATGCACTGGTGTGAAATGTTTCAATGAAATGTCATTTAGACATTGTACCATTTGCTGCTGAACTTGAGTTGGTGTCTGCCACAACACACTCACTACCAACGTAAACATTGTTCTGCTGCCGATGTTTGACTGTAAGCTGTTCTTCAGATCATGTTTTGTATGAAGCCATATTCTTTAGTTCCGTATTCCTCTGCTCATATATAAATTGCTGAATTCAGTGCTCATTTTATATTGTACGAAGCACGATTATGAATAATTTTAGATAGAACTGGGATTTTGTCGAGCTACACTATATTTATTTGAAATTGTTCTTTGTTGTTATGAAACCTTTGAAAGCTAGTATTGCATAGACTTCGTTTTATTATTTATCCTTCTTTAGTTGAGTCTCTTTGCCAAGCGTTTGTGAATACGTTTGTCCTATACATAAAGTATAACATCAAAGGAGGTTGCTATATCGTTTTTAAAACTGGTATTTGATAAAGTAATAATAATTTCTGCATAGGCAATATAAATGGAGTAGGGTTACTTTAGTTTTTATAAACTAAGTTTACAAATATGCAACCACTGCCATCTTGAACGTTCTAGGTGCGTGATATGTGTTGTATTAACGCTTTCGTTTATAACCGTCCTTCGTTATTTACGTGCTCTAGCTAGATCGGGCGTCAGGGTCGTTCACAGGGATCGAATGTGTAACGAAGAGATAATAATTTACTGTAAATTTAATTATACTTTTATTATATATTTTCTCCGAAACACAAGCCTACAAAAGTCTCAACCCTCTGCAGCCAAAACACTCTCCACGACTTTCCACGACTGCCGCTGCTGGCTCATTCCCCAAGAGACCACATATGAGTCCCCCCGCCCACTTTCTCACTTAACACAGGCGACTCTTTGTTTTAAGGAATTCCAGGTTAGGCAAGGAAAGGCAAGGCCAGGCAAGGTCATGCAAACGAGACAAGTCTAGGCAAGGCCACGCAAACGAGACAAGGCCTGGCAAGGCAAGGCAAAGCCAGCAAGGCCAGGCAGGGCCAAGCAAGGCGAGGACAGGTGAGACCAGGCAAGGCCAGGAAACGAGGCGAGGCCAGGCAAGGCCAGGAAGACCAGAGAAGGCGAGGCCAGAACAGGCCATGCCAGGCCTGGCAATGGCCAGGCAAGGAAAGCCAAAGCAAGGCAAGGCTAGGCCAGGCAAACGAGACAAGTCCAGGCAAGAAGAGCTAAGGTCTGGCAACGCAAGGCAAGGAAGGGCTGGTCAAGGCAAGGCAAGACCAGGCGAAACTAGGCAAGGCAAACGAGGCGAGGCCAAGCAATTCCAGACGAGGAGAGGCCAGGCAAGGCTAGGCAAGGTCACGGAGGGCCAGGCAAGCGAGGCAATGCCGGGCAAGGACAGGCGAGGCCAGGCAATGTGAGGCAATGCAAGGAAAGGCCAGGCAATGCCGGGCAAGGCAAGGAAGTTCAGGTAAGGTGAAGCAAGGCCAGGCAAGGATACCCAAGACCAGGCAAAGACTGGATAGGATAGGGAAGGGCAGGCAAGGCAAACGAGGTAAGGCGAGGCAAGACCTATGGCCAGAATCCAAGGCAAGGCAAAGCCAAGCAATGCCAAGCAAGGCATCCAAGTCGTGAGAAGTTGCAACACTCCTGTCGTGAGAAGTCACATGTCCCAAGTCGTGAGAATTCACAATCCAAAGTCGTGACAAGTCACATGTCCCAAGTCTTGAAAAG